TCCAGGAGGAATTTTCCAAATATCCCTCCTAAACCTGCCCTGGCCCAGCCTGAGGCCGTTCCCTCTCCTCCTGTCCCTGTTCCCTGGCAGCAGAGCCCGACCCCCCCGGCTGTCCCCTCCTGCCAGGGACTTGTGCAGAGCCAGAAATTCCCCCTGAGCCTCCTTTGCTCCAGGCTCAGCCCCTTCCCAGCTCCCTCAGGGATTCTCCAGCCCCTTCCCAGCTCCCTCAGCAATTCTCCAGCCCCTTCCCAGCTCCCTCAGCCCCTCCTGGGGCTCCAGCCCCTTCCCAGCTCCGTTCCCTGCCCTGGACACGCTCCAGCCCCTCCAAGTCCTGTACCAGGGGAGCCCAAAGCTGCAGCAGGACTGGGGCAGGCCAGCCCAGGAAGGGCTCGGGATTGGGACTGAGGGAGGCTGGAGGTGTCTGGGCCAGCCCAGCAAAGGGAGCTGTTGGCATGTCTGGATTTCAGGACGACTGTGAAAAGCTGGCCACGTTCCTGGAGAGCGCCTTCCACAAGCACCGCTCCCAAGCCCTGTGAGCTGGGGACCCACCGCAGCCCCCGTTCCCAGGGGATCAAGGTGCCGGACTGGAGGATCCCAAAGGGCTCCTGACCCACCAAACTGCAGCAGGACTCAGCTGGCCGGGCCTTGGGCCCACGGGGATCTGCCCAATCCGTGCTCTGGGAAGGCAAGAGCTGATGGAGGACTCGACAAACACCAGGAATTACATCCCGGGACGTTGGGACTCGAGTTCTGGTCCCTGCTCGCAGTGGGAGGTGTGGGGGGGTGGGCAGCAACCCCCAGCAGCCCCTTCCCAGTGGGGTTTGTGGAGCTGCTGCAGGAACCCCAACAGGATCCGTTTCCCTCTGGGAACGATCGGCTTTTCTCGCTGCGGGTCCCAAAGCTATTTTTTCCTCTTTGCCATCTGGAATGGTCCTTGCTGAGGGGAGGGGAGGGGAGGAGCAGGCTTGGAGAGCCCCGGTGTAGCTTCCCATCTGCCACATTCCACTCTCCATCCTGAATTTCTCCAGGTTTAAGGTCTCCACTGTGCTGCCTGTGCTCAGAATCCTCACGATGAGCTGGGACTGTGTGAGCTGGACATGATATGTCTTGAGAAGAAATTCCAGAAATCATGACCCACCACCTGGATCCACACATGGATCAGCAGGAATCTCATTGATGCTCCACAGAATCCTTCTCATTTCCCAGTTCCTCCTACAGCCTTCCAAAATCTCTCAGCATCTTCAAGAGAAAGCTCTGGTGCCTCTTCCTCCCATTCCCCCTGTGCTGACTGGAGTGTCAGTCCCCAGCCTGGAGATGGGAGAATTGCCACCACCACCAGCCCAGTGCTGCCCTTTGCCAGGGACACTTCGTTGAGGTGGAGAAAAGTGCAAACAGGAATTGTCTCTGTCCAAGAGCCGTGCGGGGCTGCTCTCACTGTGCCAGGGAAAACTGGCTCTGATATCCTGCTCTGTGCTGTGCCAGGGAAAACTGGCTCTGATATCCTGCTCTGTGCTGTGCCAGGGAAAACTGGCTCTGATATCCTGCTCTGTGCTGTGCCAGGGAAAACTGGCTCTGGCATCCTGCTCTGTGCTGTGCCAGGGAAAACTGGCTCTGATATCCTGCTCTGTGCTGTGCCAGTGCTGCTCCTGCTGCTCCACTGTGCTAGGGAAAACTGGCTCTGGCATCCTGCTCTGTGCTGTGCCGGTGCTGCTCCTGCTGTGCCATAGGAAACTGGCTCTGGCAGCCTGCTCTGTGCTGCCAGGGTTTGTGCCAGTTCTCCTCCTGCTGCTCCTACCATGGCAGGGAAAACTGCCTTTGGCATCCTGCTCTGTGCTGTGCTGGTGCTGCTCCCGCTGTCCTGGGGGAATTCAGCTCTGGCTCTGTGCTGGTGATGTGCACCATGCCAGTGTTCCGTGCCTGTTCTCTGTGCTGGTGCTGCTCCCGCTGTGCCAGAGGAATCGGCTCTGGCATCCTGCTCTGTGCTGTGCTGCTCCTGCTGTGCCAGGGAAACCCCCTGTGGCATCCTGCTCTGTGCTGGTGCTGCTCCTGCTCCTCCTGCTCAGACTCTGCTGGGGGAATCCGGTTCTGGTGCTGTCCTGGTGATCTGCACCACGCTGCTGTTCCATGCCACTGCTCCATGCCAGTGCTGCTCCTGCTGGGCAGGCAGATCTGCCTCTGGCATCCTGCTGGTGTTCTGTGCTGGTGCTGCTCCTGCTGTGCCAGGGAAATCTGCCTCTGGCATCCTGCTGTGTGCTGCTCAGTGCCGGTGTTCTGTGCCGGTGCTGCTCCTGCTGCTTCTGGTGTGCCGGGGAAAACTGGCTCTGTCATCCTGCTCTGTGCTGCTGCTGCTGCTGCGCTGCTGCTGCTGTGCTGCTGCTGCTGCTGCTCCTGCTGTGCTGCTGCTGCTGCTGCTGTGCTGCTGCTGCTGCTGCTCCTGCTGTGCTGCTGCTGCTGCTGCTGTGCTGCTGCTGCTGCTGCTCCTGCTGTGCTGCTGCTGCTGCTGCTGTGCTGCTGCTGCTGCTGCTGCTCAGGCTGCACTGGGGAAATCCAGCTCTGTGCTGTCCTGGTGATCTGCACCACGCTGGTGCTCCGTGCCGGTGCTGTGCTGCTGCTCCCGCTGTGCCGTGGGAAGCTGCCTCTGGCCTCCTGCTTCGTGCTGATGTTCCGGTCCCTGCTGGAGCTCTGTGTGCCACCACCCGCCCTGCACTGCTCGTGCCTCGTGGCGTCGCTCCAGCTGCATCCCAGCGGGATTTTATCCACACTCAGCCAGCTGGGGCTGCATTCCTGGCCCAGGCTGCATTCCTGGCCCAGGCTGCATTCCTGGCTCGCTCAGGCTGCGTTCCCAGCTGTGCTGCATCCCCAGCTGTGCTGCTGCATCCCCAGCTGTGCTGCTGCATCCCCAGCTGTGCTGCTGCATCCCCAGCTGTGCTGCTGCATCCCCAGCAGTGCTGCTGCATCCCCAGCTGTGCTGCTGCATCCCCAGCTGTGCTGCTGCATCCCCAGCAGTGCTGCTGCATCCCCAGCAGTGCTGCTGCATCCCCAGCTGTGCTGCTGCATCCCCAGCAGTGCTGCTGCATCCCCAGCAGAGCTGCTGCATCCCCAGCAGAGCTGCTGCATCCCCAGCAGAGCTGCTGCATCCCCAGCAGTGCTGCTGCATCCCCAGCAGAGCTGCTGCATCCCCAGCAGAGCTGCTGCATCCCCAGCAGAGCTGCTGCATCCCCAGCAGTGCTGCTGCATCCCCAGCTGTGCTGCTGCATCCCCAGCAGTGCTGCTGCATCCCCAGCAGAGCTGCTGCATCCCCAGCTGTGCTGCTGCATCCCCAGCAGAGCTGCTGCATCCCCAGCAGTGCTGCTGCATCCCCAGCTGTGCTGCTGCATCCCCAGCTGTGCTGCTGCATCCCCAGCAGAGCTGCTGCATCCCCAGCTGTGCTGCTGCATCCCCAGCAGTGCTGCTGCATCCCCAGCAGTGCTGCTGCATCCCCAGCTGTGCTGCTGCATCCCCAGCAGTGCCAATGTTCCAAGCTGACACATCAATAAAGCAGGCGGTCCCACTGGAGGGCTCTGCACAAACTGCTCGTGATTCCTTGCTCCGGTGTAAGGAGGGATTCAGGGGACACCTCAGAGCTGCAGATTCCCAATCCCTCCGGAGCACACCTGCCCCGGACATTCCAGCACACCCCAGCCCCTCCCTGGCACTCCCTCAGTGCAGCCCTCCCACAAATCCATGGATTAAACAGGATCTCACACAGCTGCTCTGACCCTGGAATTCCCTGCCCTTGGTGAACACCAGGGGCCCAAACTCCCAAAATCCTTTATAAAGCCTGGGGGCTCTGTGAACTCCTTGGAGGTTTTCCTGACTCCTGTGAATATTCCATGGTGGGAATTGAAGATCCTGGTGTCTGTTCTGCCCCAGCCGTGCTGGCTGTGACAGCAGCCGTGTCCTGTGAGGCTGCTGCTCCCTGGGGCAGAGCCCACACCTGGGGAGGGACAACTGGGGACATCTGGGGCCATTCCAGAGCTGCACTTCCATCCCCCGGCACAGGGATGCAGAACCCCAGCACGGCTGGGTGGGAAGGGACCTTCAACATCTCCCAGTGCCAGGGCAGGGACGCCCTTCACGGGACCAGGCTGCTCCAAACCCTGTCTGGATCATTTCCCGGGATCCAGGGGCAGCCCCAGCTGCTCTGGGCACCCTCCCCACCCTCCCAGGGAAGGGTTTCCTCCCAATACCCCATTTATCCCTGTCCTCTGGCAGCCATTCCCCCGTGTTCTGTCCCTCCCAGCTCTCCTGGAGCCCGTTTAGGCCCTGGGGGGATCTGTGCTGCCCCAGGGATGTTTCCATTTCCGATGAACATTCCCAGCTCTCCTGGAGCCCGTTTAGGCCCTGGGGGGATCTGTGGTGCCCCAGGGATGTTTCCATTTCCGATGAACGTTCCCAGCTCTCCTGGAGCCCGTTTAGGCCCTGGGGGGATCTGTGCTGCCCCAGGGATGTTTCCATTTCCGATGAACGTTCCCAGCTCTCCCAGCCCGGCTCCATTCCCACTGCCGGGGTGTGGCCTTCGCTCCGCGCTGAAATTTGGACACCAGGGACCAGGGCCCCTCGAACGGCAGCGAGAGAAGGGACAGGGACAGGGGAATGGACACAGGGACAGCGGAGTGGGGACAGGGACAGGGGAATGGACACAGGGACAGCGGAGTGGGGACAGGGACAGGGGAGTGGGGACAGGGACAGCAGAGTGGACACAGGGACAGCAGAAAGGGGACAGGGACAGCGGAATGGGCACAGGGACAGCAGAAAGGGGACAGGGACAGCGGAAAGGGGACAGGGACAGCGGAAAGGGGACAGGGACAGCGGAAAGGGGACAGGGACAGCGGAAAGGGGACAGGGACA